GGGGGGGGGGCTTTGGGCCCCCCCCCCCCCAGTTATATAGTTAAAAATGCCCTGCCACTAGGGTCTAGGGGCATAAATTATAGACAAAAAATGCCCTTGCATGGATGTTTAATATACATTGTTTACAAACACCTGCTACAACAGAATGTGACTCAGGCAATCTGTGACCTAGCTGTCACTTGTGATCTGTGACCTGTGTTTTAGACCCGCCATATTAAAACTGACTGGCACAGACAATCCTTAGATTCCCTTTGATGTACATGATGGTCTGGAGTGCCAGTACTCTCTTGACTAGTAAAATCATCTGGCCTGTGACATAGTGAAATAACATGCGGGGTGCATTAGGATGAAATGCAATTTAATGGGTTAATTAATAAGGCATGAACTTCAGAACTTGTGAGATTGAGATTTATACCTGTCATGTTTTAGGGGGAGTTACTACTTTTAGACTTGTATAAATATTGTATCCTTTTGTATTTTAAACTTAACCTTAATCCTATAAACCCTTACTCTAACCCTAACCTTAACCTTAATCCTAACCCATTCCCTAATCCAATTTATGTGGTTCTACTAAATACTGTCTGGAGCGCCCGGAAGTGTGCAAGAATGCCCGGGGAATATACAAGATAGTATAAATCAGTGCATGATCCTTTTTGAGTCTCTAATGAAAAATAATATTAAAATATAAATATTTAAACCAGTCTAGCAACAAGTGGTGAAGCGCGGTCGCACACGCAGGAAGCTGTGCGAAACATGAGACTATATTTATTATAAAGGTAAACATTTGCTGTTATTAAATTAAACTAAATTTAAAATAAACAATTAAGACTAGTTTTGTTTTTATATATCAACTGCTCACTGCTGAGAATAAGTCTGCTGAGAATACAGCAGTGAAATGGAAAATTGATGATGTCATTATGTCAAGTGATTGTCAACTCCGTTACTCGGATATTCTGAGAATTAAAAAATCTTATATAATCATTTATATCGTAATTTAACAATACCTTCCATGATCTCTAATTTTCTTGCTAAATCGAGGTATGCTGACGCCATGTTGAATTTATTATTAACTCGGGACTGAATGGAAAAAATGGGCCATTGACCCAAAAGAGATCACAGTGCATTCTGGGATCGTTTGGAGGGACAACTGATACATGGTGACAGGCGTCAAATATGTGAAAGAGTTGAAGTATCTACTTTGATAGCAAATCTTCGAGTTAAGCCCCTCGAGTTGAGCTTCGAATTCGAGTTAAGCCCTTTCGAGTTAAGCCCTTTCGAGTTAAGCCTTTTCGAGTTAAGCCCCGACCACGCCCAAACCACGCCCATGCCACACCCATTTCCATTGAGGGCTCATTTCGAAGTACATAACTGGATTTAGGTACTTCGAGTTAAGCCCTCTGGAAAATAGGGGCTTATAAACTGGAGTAAAGTTAAAAAATTTTGTTCTTCGAGTTAAGCCCCAACGTTTGAAAGATGTAAACGAGTTACGGAAAATAAACAATATTCATTATTTTTAGGGCGTTTATATGAGAGGCGGGACGGGACGTTTGCCAGGACGGGACGTTTGCCGGGACGGGACGGCGAACGGGATCCCGGCTCGTATAAATTTCTATTATATTTATCACCAGATGTTTATATGGAAGCGCGACGTTTTTCGTCCCGTCCCGGGCAAGCGGGATCCCGGTTTGTGCAACCGGGATCCCACTTCAACCGGGACGTTTTCTTCCATGTAAACACTTGTTGCCGGGACGGGATGGAAGGCGGGATGATTTTGGTGTATTGAAATAAATGACTAGGCTTAAACGAACTTTCAAACAACGGTTAAAGAAACTCAAATGTTGTTAGAGAAGATCTCGTAGTTCAAGAAGATTATTATTGTTGCTTGAACAACCTTTCGTTTACAATTATAGTTTATTATACTGTAATCTATCACTAGAAAAGTAATGTCATTTTGCTAAATCGTGCACCGTGACTTATTTCAATACGTCAAAATCATCCCGCCTCACATCTCGTCCCGACAAAGCGGGAATTGGAAACAAGCTGTACTAACTGTAGCTTTATCTGTAAATCCTCGTTAAATAAAATGTTATTATTATTATTAAAGACGGGAAGAATAATCCGACGAACTATCAGCATTTATTGTTTGTCTGGTTATGCGTCCTCAGTATAAAGACGTGCACAAGACGCATTATGCGTATAGAGTAAGACGAACTATCATCGGTCCAGTTGTGCGTCTCTAGTTACAAGACGAAGAATCGAACATAGTTCGTCTAGACGCATAATGCGTCTTGTGCCCGTCTTTATACTGAAGACGCATAACCAGACGAACAACAAATGCTTGTCTCTAGTATAAAAACGGCCATTTACATGGTGGAAAAGAAATATTTTTCAAACATAACAAGTCGTAGAGCTTGTATATAGAATATATATAAATCATTATATTTACATCGATCAAGTAAACAACCCTTAAAGAATAATATGTACATTTATTTAGTTCAATATGTTCTGTTGCTCGATATGTTATTTTTTCAAACTTTATGGGAAGTCTTCTACTCTCTATTAGTCTTCTACTCTCTATTAGCGCAACGTCAGCTGGCGATAATTGAGAATTTGCACCAACCGTTATAACAGTAGGCGGTACCACCAGTTTGCTTGCAAGTGACCTTTGCGCGAGGCAATGTAGGTCAGCACAAAAGTAAAATTGGCGAGGGTTTACAAATCGTTGTCTGCGTGGAATATAAAGTCTCTTGAAACAAATATTTTTCCAGCCAACATCGTACTTTTACACGAGCAACACGAAGGAGTCTCAAGTCTCGTTTTTTGTTGCCATGTGCCACACTTGCTCTGGCTCGGATCTTTCAGATTCGAAAATGGAATCCATTTCAATATGTGTCAACACGATGGTAGGGGACGGTTGTGGCACAGAATACTACAGGTTGTCGCGTCGAAGAAGCTTGGCCTATTTTTTGGTGGTTTTGTTTGATCTTGTATACTGCCTGGAGCACGTTTCAAAATTTCTTTGACTTCTGATTCCATTGAATTTTATTTTAGAGATAGGTAATTGGACCTCTACAGGCGTTTGGGATTTTGCGTTGTGCAACTTTCTTGTAAGCCTTATTTAGTTGTTGGTTTCTGAGATCTTCACAGGGTCTGAAACTGAGTAGACCTTACCGTGAATTATATATAGTGCGTCTGGTGTTTTGTTTATTTTCTTTGTGACTTTGTCAGTCCATGCACTTGTGTTAAATTATTCCTTAACGATAGGGTCTTGGCCTAAGTTAGAGTTATAAACCGAGAAGGAGGTTTATAACTGATATATTGCCCCCGAGGACGCGCAGCGTCCGAGGGCAATATATCAGTTATAAACCGACTTTCGAGGTTTATAACTAACTTATATCTCATTTGTGGAGGTTTTCTAACATATTTTGTCATTTTCAAAAATTTTTGATGAAAAATTCTCGCGTTTTGTCGAAAAGTTTGATGTAATTATTTATTCAAGGTATATTAGCTAGTTATAAACCTCGGACGGTCAAAGAAAACCGACACAAATGAGAAATAACTCCAGTATGTACTTCGAGTTAAGCCCTCAACGGGAATGGGTGCGGTATGGGCGTGGTTAACTCGAAGGGCTTAACTCGAGGGGCTTAACTCGAAGATTTGCTACTATATCAACTTTTTAGACGACCGAAAATGAAATATCTCCTTTTTACATTAAACTTTTAATTTAAATGTGTGCTGCCATATTTCTTGTCCCTCCAACATGGGATTTGCGCGACTAGACTCAGGACTCTGGGAAATGGCTAATTAGTAAAATGGTTATCTATTAAAGTGCTCCTGTTTCCCTTGTCTAGATCATTGGTCTACATTCCCCGTGCCGCTACATCATTGGTCTACATTCCCACTGACCTCTATTCGAAAATGAAGGGACGAGGCACGGTTTAATAGGTTCTGTTGCTGGTCAGGTATAATAAAATAAATTTCCACTCGATAATTTCCATCTAAAATACCCTTCAACTAATATTCAATCGAGTGAGATGCCAACAAAATCTTGATATTTTTGTATCCAAAATATCGAACTTTATTCGACGGCAATTTATACTACTAGAGGCCCTACTAGAGTATAATAAATGATCAAGACTCAACAATCAGGCTTTGCAATAACAGAAAAACCTAATTAATTAAACTGTAATAATAAATTAATATAACGGACTGTACAGTATCGTGTGAGGAGTAATTTAGGGGGACGAGGCAACTTTGTTATATGCATATCAGAATTCTGCGTGTTTTGTAATGCATGTTAATACAATAGTCAAGGTTGAGGATTGGCTATACTATTTTCACGTTGTTTTAAATAACAAAATCTTCATTTGAACTAATTTAATTAAGAAATTTAGGGTGAAATGGTTGGAAATGCTTGTAATTTTTACGATCATCATGAAATAGTTATAATTTGTGTCTCAATATTTTAGTTTTAACGCAAACATACCGAAAATTCGAAAAAAAACTAATTACGGAAAAAATATTGGTGGGGCTAAATCCAGCCTGCTCCACGGTCCCTGTAAGACAGTAAAGACTATAATTATATGTTTCAGACACGTTGGTGACGAGGATATGGCGACGATAAAATTCAAACCAAACTGAGCAGTCATCTGCGTCTTAAATTTTGCATAGTTCAAAATAAAACTGCCATGTTTGGGAAGTACTGAAACTATATTAGATGACGGAGGATATGCCCCTGATAGCGTTATAATACTGACAAGCTAGTGCCAGAGAGCTCTTGTATACTTTCGTAAAGTTTCCAAAGGTACTGTTCATGATAAATTGCCACATGCAAGTATACATCTTCAGGAAAACACAGCCACAATCTCTTAATTCTTCCAGTGGCAAGTATTTCAACACTCTTGTTATGATTTTTATTTATTTTCAATTTACACTATTAGTCACTTTCATCCTCGTCACTTTCAGCAATAACTTTTTTCCGTTTCTTCTTCACGACTGGTTCTTCAAAGCTGTGCTTTCGTTGTCTTGTTGAGTCATTTTCAGACATGCCTGCTCCTTTGCCTGCGGAATTCTCAGCACTATCGTCATCGCTTTCCAGTCCTCCAGAAATACCTTCTTCCTCGCTCTCTTGATCAGAGTACACATCACCAAGACGACCTACGCAAAGATTTGAAAATACAATGAAATTACATTTGAAAGCTAGATTTGAAAATACATTTTTCTCAGCATTTTAACAGAAGTCATGCAGTGGCCACAACGCTCAATTTCGACCAACCAGAATACTGGAAATTCAATTAGCCTTTTCCCAAAAGAGATCAGTGCATTCTGGGATCGTTTGGAGGGACAAAATATATGGTGACAGGCGTCAAGTATGTGAAAGAGTAGAAGTATCTACTGTCAAATACCATCTTTTTAGACGACCAAAAATGAAATATCCCATTTTTACATTGAACTTTTAATTTAAATGTGTGCTGCCATATTTCTTGTCCCTCCAACATGGGATTTGCGCGACTAGATCCAGGACTTTGAGAAATGGCTAATAGACACTCCTTAAAATGATACGACTTTGGAACAATTTACCAAGTAGTATCGTAGAATCCGACAGCATTAATGTGTTCAAAAACCATTTGAAACAACATTTAACTAATTAATATGTATATTATGTAAATATAATATTTATTACCAAAATTGTAGGAACAAGTACTATATTTATGTTAGAATTTTCCTTTGGAAGTTGTAACATATAGGGTTAACCTCTCAACTTTCCATTAGGTCTATGTGTATGCCCTAAGAATAAATTTATGTTATGTAATGTAATGTTATGTTATGTTATGTTATGTTATAGTGCTTACGGGCAAGTGAAAAAAAGTAATTACAATTGGCAGTTTAAAATTTAAGGAGTCAACACATGAGTCCCAACTATGCAGTTGCAGTCTTACTATAACTCCAAAATCCAGGTACGATTTTTAAGTCATGTCAAATTACGATTAATATTTCTTTATTATATACACAAGGTCCGGATATGAGGTATTCTGCAATCTGATTGGTTCTCTACTAGCAGGATATTAGCTCATATCCTGCTAGTACTAGTAGAGAAAAACAAAATGGCGGCTCAAACTGAATTTCCGACATCTTGCGAACGAGAAAGCGACAAGTTGTTCGCTTTTTATAGCCTTTACAGGATTAAAAACACAACGAAAAAATTCCCACAAATTGTTTACAGGCTAGCAAATGAATTTTTAAAATTTTAAATGGTTAAAAATACATATTTTTGAAAAAATACTCGGCCGAAAGAGCGAAGATAAAAACATAAACAAAATAGAAAAATATTGAAAATATCCGAAAAGCAAAGTCTGTGAATTCAGACCTTGTGTATATAATAAAACAGTTATTCCACTCACTCTCGTCGAATATGAGCGATAGCCGATTCGGCGCTACGCGCCTCATCAGCTATCAGCTCATATTCGACTCAAGTTCGTAGAATAACTGTTAAATATCGTAACTTTACATGTGGATATGATCAAATGCGCTTTACATCAAGTATTACGCTTACCTAATTACATACTTAGCCTAAACTACTTATCTTTACAACAATTGTGATATTAATTTCTTAACTGTGTTTATCATAACCCACCCTGTCAAAAATTTTACTGAATATATACCTGAATACAGTATACAAATAATGAATGTTTACGAGTGTAATGGTAAGAATATTTTCATGAGGTGAAAGATGGAATGTTCCATTCAACGAGGCGACAGCCGAGTTGAATGGAACATTCCATCTTTCGCCAAATGAAAATATTCTTACCATTGCACGAATAAACATCGCCATAAATGGCATATTGATATTATTTATTTAACAGCAGTAATTATATTTACATTATCATAAACACCGGAACTTCCGGTTTATCGCTAGTCACTCACGTGACTGCTTGTAATTCGAGAATACGAATTGCTCTGTAAAAACATATAGTTTTATCGTTCGTTATTTGTGAGTCTTTCTTCTATACTGGCGTGGTGGCAGCGATTTATTTCCTTATCCTTCGATCTCTAACACAGCAGAGATCATAATACACAGCACAGAAGAAAGTTTCTCGTACCAAAACAAGGTAAAAGCGAAGCAGTTTTCAGCTGTTCTACGAATCAGAGCTCGTACAGCAAGACCTCGTGAGTGCCCATACTAAACGTAAGTCAATTATTCGTATAGTTAGTTGTCTTTCTCGTTAGTATGGCAGGCAACCGTGCCCCAAAACAGTGGTCTCTCACAAAACAAGAAACAATAACATCGTTTGAAGCATGGCGTCAAAATTTACAATATACATTATCGTTAGACCCAAACTTCGCCCCATTTTTGATCGATGGGGTAACTTGGCTGAGAAAGACCACAGCCGCCCCAGTTCGCGGTTTCGAAAATGATGCCGATACTGTACCCCAAGCACGCCGTCGTACTGCAGAGCAAAAAGCAGCCCAACTGGAGCTTATATTGGGCCAAATAGCCAATTATTGCCCCGTAATTTCCCGAAATACTATTGTCAAAACTCGACATCTTTGAGCACTATTTGGCAATCAATTCGAGCTCACTTTGGGTTTCAGTCCACAGGTGGTCATTTCTTAGACTTTAATAACATTCACTTAGAAGCTGACGAGCGTCCGGAAGACCTTTACCAAAGGCTTGTTAGCTTCATTGATGACAATTTGCTCAAAGCTGATGGTGGTATTCGACACCATGGTGAAAATGTTACAGCTGATGAAGACATCTCCCCAACAATGGAGAACATAATTGTGTTGACATGGCTACGCCTTATCCATCCTTCTTTACCGGCTCTAGTCAAACAGCGCTATGGTGCTGAACTTCGATCACAAACTGTCGCGTCCCTCAAACCTGAAATTTCCCAAGCACTAGACTCCCTCCTTGACGAAATTAACTCCGCCAACGATGCAAAAGTCTTCCGTACTGCTTTCCAACAATCCCTCAAGCACCCTCAATCCAGTAGTCACCGTCAAACCCCTACAGCCCTACCACGGACATCTAAAACCCCAACAAAAAGTTGCCCCTTGTGTAGACAAGCAGTTCGACAACACCAACACTACCTGAGTAGGTGCCCCTACCTCCCAGTCGAAGACAAGCAATACCTCTCCCGCTCAAGACAGGTAGTCGGCACAGAACCGGGAGACCCGCTATCTGATTGCGAAGTAGAAGACCCACAAGATTCCCACAACTACCGAATCAAGACTACCACCAACCGAGTTAGTGTTAAGCAGTCACCCCATCTCCAGGCCTTCTATGCCCATCACCCACTACTTTTGACATTAGACACAGGAGCAGAAACCAGCATGATAAAGACCAGCATTGCCAATGAAATTGGAGCTACTATACAGAAGACTACTCAGAAAGCCCTCCAAGCAGATGGTATTACCCAGTTAGCCGTCGTCGGAGAAGTCCATTTGACTTTGTCCCGTAACCACTTTAATTTGCAGTTGGATGCACTTGTCGTTGATAGTTTGGACGTCGATGTACTAGCCGGGACTCCTTTCATGATCACCAACGACATCTCCCTCCGGCCATCCAAACAAGAACTCACCATTCAAGGAAGCGAGAACGTGTATTATGGCTCCAGACAACCAGCTGGGACCATAGGCTCGGTCCGACGAACACAATCTACAGTCCTTCGTGGCCCATCCTCCTCCACCGTAATTTGGCCAGGACAGTACCTTGAATTAGACCTTCCCGATCACGTAGACCCGGATTCTATCCTTGCCCTACAACCCCGTAAGGATTGTTCTAGATCAGACTGTGAGTGGCCAAGCCCCCATATTGTACAGGCAGTCGCAAGCAAGATCCGTATACCCAATCAGACCCCTCACCCTAAACTTATCCCTCGTCATGACCATTTGTGTCAGGTCCTACCAACCTACATCCCATATCCACACCCCGATGTTCCCAAATCTAGCAACAGCACCCCAGTAGCACCCTCCTCTCCTACACCCCATGAATATTCCTTATCTGTCCAGCTAGACCCCGATTCTATCCTATCAAAGAGCATGCACTCTGAATTCAGCCGGTTAGTTAAAGAATATGACGATGTTTTTGATAAAAATATCTCTGGATACAACGGTGCTGCCGGTCCTTTTGAAGCTGTCGTAAATATGGGCCCAGTACAACCACCACAACGCAAAGGCAGACTCCCCCAATATGCGCCGAACAAGCTGGTCGAGCTTCAACACAAATTTGACGAGCTTGAGTCGCTAGGCATTTTTCAGCCCCCTGAAAACCTTGGCATAACCGTTGAATACCTTAATCCATCATTCCTCATTAAGAAGCCAAGCGGAGGACACCGACTAGTCACTGCCTTTGCTGATGTTGGTCG